CTTCTAAAACTATCCTTTGCTGTCGTTCAGAAATGACAGTCCGAAGATTGAGAATTTTGGCCGATCATTGGTATTGTCGGACACCACGCTTTGAGAGCTTATAACTTTCTATGCACTCTTGCTAGAGCTACAAGTTTTGTCACGCAAATAAAGGATAACTATTGCTATAATACTTTGCAGTTTCATGAGATGGCAATGTATAGTTTTCCTAAAACAAGTGTCCGAAAATTGATGGTGTACGATCATTGATAATGTACTCTAGCACTTTAATTTTACAGGCATAAAATTTGCAAATTGATAAAATCAATTTTTCATGGAAATAACTTTTGCGGATTCACAATGTTAGTACCACGCCTTTAATGGCAATTGAATTTTAGCGTATCTTTAATTTCCCGGTTGCATGCTAACCCACAAAAATAGCAAAAATTTTGTTCCTAAATAAAGCGCTATACGGTAATGTCAGTTGCAAGTTGTAAAGTACAAACATTAAAGTTTTCATGAAAGAATATTTGAATATTTTAAAAAGATTTGTGCAATTTGTATTTTGTTGTATTAAAGAAACCTCAAAAGAAACCTCAAAAGTGAGCAATGCGTGCCTCGTGTGATACCTTAACTCTGTCTTCGATTGAGAGTGACGTGTTTTGAAAAGGAAAGAGAGCTTCAACGTGGTCACTGATGGCCAAACAACAAGCGAAAAGAAGAGGTACTGCAAACACTCTCATTTCTACCTTTTTGCAGCATTGACAATCATAGAGGTGTGGTTAATCAAAGAAAAGGAGGAGTGGCTCATTAATTTTAAGGAGTGGCATTATACTGACATACAGTACTCCCCCCACGCTAAGATGGAAGGCGATTTTGTAGAAGATCCTCCTGATGACCTAGTTTGTCCAGTCTGTCTTCTGCCTTGTAAAGACCCGCACCTTATCTCATGCTGTGGGAGAAAACTGTGTCTAGCTTGTATCACCGGAATACAGGATTCTGGCCTGGCTGAAGTAGCCTGTCCTTGTTGTAGGTCCAATGAGTACGAAACAATGAGAGACAAACTAGTGGAGAGGCGTGTGCTGGATTTGAAAGTGTACTGTAAATATAAGGAAAAGGGCTGTACATGGGCTGGTGAGCTAAGGGATATGGAGTTTCATACTGAAGACTGTCTTTATAGGGTTGTATCCTGTATATATAATTGTGGCCTTTATTGTACGCAGTTGGGCATGTACATTCACGAGAGGGATACGTGTGACAATAGGCCGGAAATGTTACTCCAGAACGAAATTAAAACTTTGAAGGAAAAAGTGTCGGCATTAGAGAAGAAGTGCAAGGAAAAGGATGGAGAGAATGAGTCTCAGAGGCAGTTGATTAATCAATATAAACGGACTATATCAGATAGCGAAACTCATACTCAAATTATTCTCAGAGCAAATGATGAAGTCAATCAGAAATTTATTTCTTGTACTGAGAGTAAAGAAGAGTTGCAAAGTCTTAATGAACACTTAGAGGCTAAGCTTCACTCTTGCAAGAAGAAACATAAAGTACTTCGAAATGAAATGATGTCGTTGTTAAGAAGGAGTGGCATTAATGACAGTGACGATGAAGAAGATGATGGCTTGTTGGAGGTGATTGAGAAGAAGGAAAGGAATGACAGCTTTGCAGACATTGAGGAGTGTAGTACTAGTGTAGCATCAAAGTCAGTTCAATATAAGACGCCTTTACCTTTTGAACTTTGTGATGACATAATCTTTAAAAAGCAACCAGATTTTGAGGAAGAAAAACCATCAAATGATTTTATAGTTCCAAAGGAAGAAGATTGGTAATATAATGACTATGAGGCAGTTTGTTCCATTTTAAAACAATTATTTGTCATGGCCTGGTCACTGGGAGCATAATTGTTATTTTCCAGGAGTCCATGCTTTGCCTGTTTATATGCATAAAACAGGTTTAAATCTATTTATCATTATTGTTGATTTGTTTAGTTTTTATGCATAAATTTAATGAAATTTTAACATGACTTCTTTTTTATCAAATTTTCTCCATTTGTTTTGGCGAGTTTTGAGTGCAGTATTTTAACCATTACAGTTGCCTGCATTTGTAAATTGTTCTGTTATTGGTGTTTCGTATTAGCTGCATGATGCTTTCTGGCTTCAACAATGTCAATTTTGATATTGCAACTGTTGCTGCTATAAGATCATAGTTTATTTTATAGACCTACTACAACTATTTTCAAAAGTATAAGTGACTCTGAAAACAGTCAATTTATAATGTAGAAGTTTTAGTTTAGATTATAGTTTGAATTATTGAACATTTAGATCTAATCAGACTAGGGGTCAATTGAGGCTTGAGGCTTGAAGTTTAGAACAAAATTTAAACTTAAATTGAAATAGAGTAGCCATAGTGTGCGACAACCAAGTCAATACAGACACAGGAAAGGCACTCAATCTCAGTAGTTACATGATCATATGTACATTTATACTAGATGTAGCAACTGTGACAATCAGGGTTTCCCAGTATAGTGCTAAGCTCATGAGGTGTGCTGTTTAGCTTGCTCAGTAGAGCTTTGTGGAAACCCTAGTTTAAAGTATTATGTCAAAAATAGCTATAGAAAAACTCTCCATTTTACTGATACATATACGTATTGTGATGTTGTCTTATCTTGTTGAGCTCATTTCAATCAAAACTGTATTTTTATAAATTTTAAAAGTAGCTCAAAATCTCAGTCTGGCCTGAGACCGTGTACTACTCTAGAGCTACAGTGCATGTTCTTAGGTCAAATTTTATTAAAAATGGCTAGAAGAAATCTCTATTTTTATAGATTTTTGGAACAATACATACACGTTCTGATGTTGTTTATTCAGTTGATTCCAGGCAAAATTGGATTTGTTATGAATTCTTAAAGATATACTCTAAAAGGTATGCAATTTTGGTGAGGCATGTTAGCATTTGGTGAGGCAAGTTAGCTATAAGCCATGTATAGAATGATCTATAAATGTTTCAATTCTGTAGTTATTTCTGGTATCTACAAATTTAACAGACTAGCTATTATGGCCTTACAAAGATACTCAATTTTATAAAATGATCGTAGATTCACTAGATCTACAAGCATGTTTTTATTAAGTTAAAGGGAGGATAAGATGTGACTCTAGTAAACAAACGTTATCATAATAGATTTAGTGGACGATATAATTTAAGGATGATAATGCAACGTTGAATGTTTATTCACAAGCTATGACTGGCCAAAACATAGCAGCAATCTTATGATAATCATCATGATTATTATGTTTATGATCATTATGGTTATAAACATGATTATAATCATCATAATGGGCCTATTATGTAATGGGCCCAAAGTCAACTGAATTTATATATATAGTAACACCCATTTCCTTATTCTAAACTATAACATCTATGACTGTTTACTTAAGGACAGTATTGTTGTGAAACTAGAGAAGCACAAATTCTAACTTATAGCTGGCAAAATGTCACTGTTGGTTATAGTCTTCTTGCTGGTCCTTATAAAACCCATTGCTGGTGGATGTCCACCATCATCAGGTAAGACACTCAAGCAAAGAAACTAGCTAGATTTACAATAAGGCTATAGACTATGCAGTATATTAAATCAGTTTGTATTATGGTGTGACAAAACAGTGAGTGAATAGCTCTGCTGTAGCATATAGTTGTCGCACTTTAGATCTAATTGCCACCTCAATTTCTTACATTACATACAAGATGTAACCATTACCGTCCATAGGTATTTACTTGATGCATAGAGGAGAGTGCTATCCCAATGGATCATACTTTCATGATGCAGCCATCAGAACACACTACCTGATGTGTGTAGCCCCTGGATCTACTCTGAATGGTGGACAGTGGGTTAGAGCTATTGATGGAGATCCTGTTACCTGTGGCAGCAACAGTGACACTGATCCATTTCGCTGTAATAGTCTAGCCTCACCAAATGCTAGTCTAAGCCTGTACTTACCAGATGGACAATCTCTTTTGTCTGAAAGAGAAGGATTTTATAAGTGCTGTTTACCTACTGGTTGTTCAGATCTCAATACTAATATTATTACTGCTAGTATATTTAGTAAGCAATTGTATTGTTCATAATAATAACTGTGAGATAATTTACATTATAGGGTGGGCTCAGATTGCTGAGATCAAATTTGAACTCCTTTCAGATATGACAATGCTACCACAGCAATATGCATTGCATGCCATCAAGATTGGTCAAATGGATCATGTATTTTTACTAGCTGCTACTTGGTATTTCGAGACTGGAGATAATAGCAGCAACCTTACTAGTGTATGCAATCAGCAGCAAAACAATTGTACTGTTGGTTCTGGAGTACTATTGCATACAATTAATGGAACATATGATTATAATGTAACTATTACATGGAATGGAGAGAATAATAATAGTGGAATTTTGAATCAAGCAAACAGCAATGGTGATAATGTATTTAGATTTTATTTACAGTTTGGCGTTTCCCATGAGAATGTTGTTAGGAATCGTTATTATACAGTTACTGGTAAGTAAATATCAATAATATAAATTATTTAATTCTAAGTTTCTAGTTCCTGCATCAACTCCATCTAATTTAAGTATCACTAGTGAAACGACTTCAACCATATCACTTTCTTGGAATGCACTTGGATCAATTGATGCTGATGGATATGTAGTCAATGTTACCATAGGCACAAGTATCATTCAGACAGTGCAAATAGAGGGAGGAAATAGTAATAAAACAACACTGAAGGGCCTAGCATCTGGAACCATCTACAATATAACTGTAAGAGCATATCAGCAATTACTGGGACCAGGTAGTAGTGCAATATTGGGGCAAACATTACTAGGTACAAGCTGCTATTTTCATTGCATGATTATACTCTTAAATCAATTTTTATAGTAATTCAGTCAATTAATTGGACATTGGTTTCATCAATTAGACAACTTAGTCAAACTGTGTATCGTATTGATTGCATTGTAACTACTGAAATAGATCCGTTGATTGATATACACTGGTTAGTCAATGGAGATATAAAGAACAGCTCAATGTTTACATTACTTAATGATGAAACTTACAACATTTCCTTATTGATAAATCCTGATCCACTGGGAGTGTCTGTTAATGTATCTTGTGTGGCAAAAAATGATGGACGTGCCTACAGTAAATTTGTAAAATTACATGGTATGTCAAATATTATAATTTTCTGTAGTATAGTACAATAATTTCACTATAGCTCCTACTGGACCCCCAAGTGATGTTCAAGCATTCATACTAGATAATGATAGCATTAAAGTCAATTGGACTTCATCTGGAAATAACAATGGCTTTGCTATTGAGTACATTACAAAAGATGGGAGCAGTAATGTGACCCTCACCAGAGAATTTGAAATCACATTATATCTACCAATGAATACTTATTTTATAATTGTATACTCATATGTTGATCTTCCTTCTATCAATGGCACATCTACAATGATAATGTTTGATAGTAAGCCATTGATTATATTGAAAGTTTATTACATTGATGTAATCATTCTTTAGTTCCCAGTCCAATAACAAGTTTTGTAATATTCAATATCTCAAGCAGTAATGCTACACTGAAGTGGACTAATGAAAATAGAAGCTATATCACATATTATGTAGTCTCCCTTACTCCATCATGCTTTGAAATTTCACCTATAAACAAAATAATTTCTGTCAATCCTCATGAGTCCACCAGTATCTACAACATTACATTTAGTGCTCTATACAGTGGTATGGACTACACTGCTAAAGTGAGGGCTGGTAACGTACTAGGAGAATCAAACTCAAAAACGCTAAATTTTAGTACTATATCAACAAGTATGTTTACATCATTGCATAAAAAATCATTTCCTTTCTTTCAAGTTCCTTTAGGTGAACCAAACAATATTCTTTCAAATAAAACACACAACTGGATAACATGGGATGAGGTCAATTGCTCTATGCTTAACGGTAGACTAATAGAGTACACGGTGATGATTACTGGTGTTGCACACACTACTGAGGAATATTTTAATATATATAATTTATTATTTCTCACTGTGTACAACATTAGTATAGCTGCCACAAATTCTGCTGGAACAGGACCTTTTAGTGCTCCAATTACGTACATTGTGCAAGGTAAATTTTTAAACTGGTTATATAAAATGTTAGAGTTGATTTCAGAGCCTAAACAAGTCAATTTAATATTAAGTGTCATGGGAACTACATGGGCTTTTATTTCATGGAGTGCCCCAAACAACATGCCTATTCTATATTATGAAGTAAAGTATAATGCTTCTGAGTCAGATAACTGTTCATCAATGTCAATGAGGCTCACTACTGATTCTTATTACTCTACTATATCTAGTGCAGATACTTATGTCAATATAACAGGTTTGACAGCTAATACTTTGTATTGCTTTGCTGTGCGGACATATGTCAATGGATATGGGGAATGGAGTATCTTAGCTAATAAGACACTTTTAACATGTATGTATCATGTAGCTATGCATATCACTGATTTCTTCTATATCATTATATTATAGTAAATAATTCTAACAATGCTTCAGGGTCTGATAACATCTTTGTTGGACTTGGTGTTTCAACTGGTGTGTTGCTATTACTTTTAGTAGCCAGTATTACCATTAATATAATGTTCATCATAATAAAATGGTAAATTCAGATAATAATATTATTTTTTATAATACAAAAATTGTTTCTTTTTAGTAAAAGCCAGGCAGAGCAGAATGTTGAACGTGATGAGTATGTAATTAATGTAAATATTATTAATATTAATATTACTACAGGCCCAATCATATTAATATGCAAGTCTGTGAACCATACATGATTAAAACCTCTCCATCACAAGATCAGAATTTTGAGCAAGAAACTTCTGAGCAAGAAGACTTATATGTTTACGTGCCAAATTAATAAAGGGCAAAGGCTCTGGCTTTATATAATATGACTACCGGGTACATACATGGTGCGGTTTTATAGTTTGTTTTGTGGAATAAATTAAATGATTATATAAAGGGAGGGGCCAAATTATGTAAAGGCGTGGCTCACAAAGATGGAAGTCGAAGAAGGTGGTTATGATTGTGAGTTTGTTGAAGAGCTTCCAGATGACCTAGTGTGTCCAATATGCCTCTTAGCATCCAGAGAGCCACATCTCATATCATGCTGTGGGACGAAGCTCTGTCATTCTTGTGTATTGAGAATTCAGTTCGCAGAACAACCGTGTCCTTGTTGTAGAGTAGAAAGGTTTGAAATTATGAAAGAAAAGGCGGTAGAAAGACGCATATTAGGCTTAAAGGTTTATTGTAAGTATAAAGGCAAGGGATGTACTTGGACTGGTGAGTTGAGGGATCTCGAGAAACATGAGAAGTCATGCCAAATGTCTTGTAGCGACACTGACTTGATCATTGTTAGAAAGAACGAGGTAATAGACCAACAAGCTAAGCAGATCAGGAAGTTAGAAGACTCGAATAGAAAACTTTGTGAAGATATAGCCGGGCTACATAAGGAGCTTGAAAAACTTAAAGTTAACGAGGCTGCTAATGTTCACGAGAAGAACAGGATAATTGAAGACCAAAGTCAACGTTTAAAAATCATGAGAAATGAAATTGCAAAACTTCAAGAAAGCAAGGCTGAGCAAGAGAGGATGATGAGGAACAGCATTAAAACTCTAAGTACTGAGAATGAAGAGCTGAAACGAAAACTCATTGAAAAACAAGCACCCAATCCAGCACATGACCTGCTTCCCGCCTTAGTGTCTGATTTGAGGAAGGATATTCAACAACTAAAGACCGAGAATGAAAACTTGAGACATGAGCTTCACGACAGACCATTTCACCCGCCACCACCTCATCATCGTCACGGACCACCACCACCTGGACATGGACCACCTAGACATCATCCACCCTTTGGGCACCATAGGAGACATCCTCACCCACCACCTCCATTTTAGCAGTGTCTTTGATTTAGTGACAATTTTTACTTTTAATACCAAGAGTACATTACTTATCACATTTAGATTAGTATTATACAATTGCAAGTAGATTCATGTTATACAACCTTATATAAAGTGTGTCACATTATAATGTTATTAGCTTTTATTTCTTTTCAGTAAAATTTATTAATTATAAAATAACACAAAAAATTAATTGTGAACTGCCAACGTATAATCAACCTCATAGTGTATACTATCTCTGCCATCCCTGCCCCTTGTCATTATTGTATACATATCTTACAATAACTTGATAAAAATTTATAGTAGCTAATCTACAGATCTACATATAATTAGGGATAAAGCAGTTTACAATACAAACAAGAATGACATGTATCTAATTAAGGATTGTTTGTTAATCTTTAACTTGACCTCAGCAGTGTTTATTTTGGTGATATTTTTCACAGTTTTTTTCATCCATCTCAACCTCACTTTCACTGCTCTCATCATTTAGAATATCAAATTGAGCTTCGTTATCATTGTATTTTTTGGCATAAAACCTTAAAGTAGCTTGTCCATCATTTGGGTTGTTTAAATCAAAATTGCCTTCATCTTTATGTACTTCTTTTTTTCCTGTCTCGTTCTTTTTGGTGTACTCATATGATCTCATTTGACTACCTTCTTCAGCTTGATCTTTTTTCAGCGAGGTTGCCAAATTATAAGATATTTTTGTAGTGTTAGGAGATTTTTTCCAAGTTTTATTTAAATTTGATAAGGAAAGCTTGCTGAATTCCTTATCTTTTCCACAAAAGAGAATATTTTTCCAGACATGGCGAGCTTCTTCAGAGCGTAGACAGTACGTTATAAGAAGAAAAAGCCCATGAAATCCAGTCAAAATAACAAAAACAGAAGCTATTAAATCACGTAGAGTTTCGCTGGTATAAATGTCCTCAGTGACAAGCAGTCCAAGTCCCCAGCCTAAGCCAAAGAGGATGGAGAGAGTGATTGCTCTTATCAATTGTTGCTTTAAAAAAGACTTTGAATCTTTATCTTTCTTCATTTTTGCATCATTCAGTTTTAATGAGTGTGTTTTATGCAAAAGAGAAACCATGATGACAACAAATATGATGCAGTTGAACAGATAGATAATAACAAAAGGAACCACCATACCGATATAAAATGGAGCTCTGAAGGCACGGCAACTAGAATAAATGTGAAATAATATATGATGTACGTGTTTTATCTAGATCTATGTACTATTACTGCTGTGCTTGTACTATTCAGCAAGGAAGGTTTACAGTATCTGATCTTTTGATGTAAATAATGTTTTGAATGAGGCTTTGAAGTTAATGTTTATAAAAATCGAGAATTCTTTTCTACTTCATAGACATTCTTGACAAAATGTGGTCAGAAACTGTGTATAAGTACATGGTCTTGAGCCAGATTTTGAGCAACTTTAAAAATTCATAAAAAATTCAATTTTCATCAGAATCAGCTCAAACTAAATATACAACATCAGAACATGCATATAAAAAAGCTATGAAAATGAAGAATTCTCTCTTAGCCATTTTTTGCCAAAATACATGCATTCTAACAGCACACCTTAGGAGCTGACAGAACAATACTACGGCTACTGAGGTAGATTGAGAGCATTTTTTCGTGCATCTGTATTGACTCAGTATAGTTAGTACACTGAAAACTCAATTTTTATCAAAATTTGAATTACATTTTGCTGAGGCTTAAGCCTCAATTACAATTACAATTATGTAATTGTAATTGAGGCTCTAATCACAATTACAATTGTGGTCTAATTTTAACCTCAATTTTTGGTTGAAGACCATGATATCTTTGCAGAAATTTAAGTTTAAAAATTTAATCAAAACAAGCTCAATCTTTCCTCAAAAATGGTATGAACAGATTTTCCTTTATTCATATCAAACGCTAAATTTGCATATTTTGTCTTATGACTATAATAAAATCATCAATAATCTTACAAATTTGGAGGATCACTGATGTAGCTCTTGTAGTCTGGAGAAAAGCAAAACAGCACAACAAAAACTGGAGCAACTAGTAAAAATACATTTATAAAAACAGAAAAAGATTATGTCAAAGTACTATTGATAAATCAATAAAAGTTTTATGTAGCAAGATCTAATAATAATAAAATTATAGACTTTATTTATTGTCATAAAGCACATAATAGAAGTTGTATAAATGTAAAATGACTTACTCCATGATACCACAGTTGCCTTCAGAACATAGTTCTCTATTTTGCGACCTAAAACTATGACAAGTTTAATATATAGATGAATAGCTTCAGCAGCCATCACAATAAAAGTGACAAGAAAAAAATATTGAAGAACAGCACCAGAGAAGGCACAAAAAATATTTATGTTTTTGCTATGAAGAGCTACAATAAATGAGAGATAGAGGCCCAAAAGAGCAAAACAAAGATTAAGGAGTAGTTGACCATGATCAGATGACCTTAGCTTCCTATAATCCATTATAATAAAAGTGATCTCTATAAATTCTTTCATTGTGCTCACTTGCTTAAGAGGTAAGATATTATAGTGATGATAAGACAAACAATGGACACCATGATACCAACATATGATATTGAATCAAGAAACAATGTCAACTCTGTTCTTTCAGTTGGTTCATTATTTAGAGAAACATCCTAAATCATTGACAATAACCAAGAATGTTTTAATGATGTATAATATACCAGTAATACAGCAAAATTAGTCAAGTGATCACAATGACATGTTACATATTTAGGATCCACTGAAGTGTTACATCCATCATTAGACCAATCACCATATCCATCTATGAAAAAATTAACAGGTAATAAAACTAACACAATACCTATACAAATTTACTATCTAATGATTGTTTCCAGAAACTACACTGTGGAAATGATCCATTGATGTCCTATAAACAAAAGCAAGCAAGATAGGCTATCTAAACAATTATCCTTACTGGATTTAGCTGAAAAGTAAGATTAACAGGAGATTTAAGACCTTTAACTGGCCCAATTCCCACCACATTGGCTGATATGATGATACTACCGACCGTCCAATAGTTAATTTTACGTCTCAGAAAGAGTGAATCAGTCACAAAAACAGCATAAGCAATTTTACTATCATCAGACAAATTATTAGATAAAGAAGAGAGAAGATTGCTAGGTAACTGAATAGAGCCAGTTGGTGGAGAGACTGAGTTACTTCCAAATGATAGATCATCCCAGCTGATATTTTGTGTGGCAAAGTCACCAATATTTACACTGAACACTTGACTTGATTCATTTAACTCTTTAAGATCAATTTGCTGGACTAAAACTGCAAAATGATTCCGCGCAATGACTACTGGCTCTGAAGAATTGGTGATATTAATGTCACCAACTACATTCTCTATAGCATCTAATATCCTGTTATGAAAAAAGGTACAGTAAAACAGTTCATCATATGCATCAAGTACATGTATAACCTTGAAGAGGTGTTAGATGATTCCTGACTTTTTTGTAAAACTTCCTGATTTACAACTAAAATGTTATCAACAGTATCAAGAAAAGTTGTTGTTAACTAAAAATACCAATCATCAGAAAAAGACATATATCCTTATCCTTACTGTTATATTTCCTTCAAGCTCACCGGTAGCAGAAACTAATGCACTTATACTTGCAGCAACTTCAGTAGGTCCTAGTGCACTGCTGTCACTAGTTAATGCCTCAAGCTCATTTATCCTTTCTTCAACTGGTAACTACACATATTTGTGGAAAGTAAAAAAGAACTTCAAATGCATGTATATATCTACAATTGCCTTTACATTCATTGAATAATTTAGTGTATTAATTAAACTGACTTACATCTTTAAGATGGCAAAGAGTTCTAGCTAAGTCACTGAAATTGCATCTCATTACATCAGGTGCATCCCAAACTGCTCCATTAGTAAAATCACCTCCACAATAACGTGTAGCTTGTAGCTTACCACCACCTGATGTGCCATTAGTACCACATGGACAATCAACCACTGCTAGTACACCAATATTAGTTTCAGGCCAAACAATAGTGATGGTAAGGTTTGGGTTACCAGAATGAGAAGGAATGATTGTAAAATTTGAAGGACAGCCATCTATAGCATTTAAAATTAATTTATAAAATTTTAATGGCATGGATTTACCAAATCTCTCAACAGTAGTGACAAATGTTGGCAGAGCAAATTGCTGAATAAAATTCAATACATGCCTTACACCATTTAATAGGATTTTGTCACCTTGACCTTTTTGTGTTACCAATGTTACCACAACTAGTAAACTATCATTGTTAGTTCTAAGAAATGAGAAAATGAATTATTAAATGTACTATAAATATTATTTACCCAAGGCTAAGTTCATCAGGGTTTAGTTGTATTTTGATGTAAAACAATGAAGTGTCACTAATATTGCTACCTGATAAGTAATTGTTACTTTGTATCATCAACTGCTTTGTGTTTTCCATTGAGTCATTTGTTCCCACATAGGAATTTGTAGAAAGATGCATTTCTGCTTTGTATTGTACCACATCTAAAACAGTATAAGAAATAAACAGTGACACTTAAACTACAAAGTGTCAAATAAAAGACAGTGAAGTATAAGATTCAATAAAAATCTTTGTGGCCACAATTATTTAATAGTTACTACTTAGACTAGTAAGTAACTTACTTGTTATATTGAGTACTACAGAAGAAGAATTAGCTGACATCTTTCTTCCATCAATAATGTTACTAGCTTCACAATGATAGATTCCTCTATCATTCAGTGTCAGTTCAGCAAATACCAGTATAGAAGGGTTGGAATTTCTGTTAACAAATAACTTTTTGTCTTTGTACCAGAGAATTAATGGAAATGGTGAACCAGTAGCTTTACAAGTGAGATTTACTGGAGAGTAAAGTTCACCTGTTGTCGTCTGTGGTGGCTCAGTAATTTTTGGTTTAATCTTGATTGTGACTTCTAGAAAATATAAAAAATTCTTTAAAAGCTGCATTCTTATAATTTTCAACAGAATTCCCTTTTCTCATTGCTGAATCATCTATTAGGTAAGTACCTCTCCTCTCATACACTGCAATCTAAAACTTACTTTCTTGGCAGTTTTTTCCAGTATGTGTCTCTGAACACAAACAATAGTAGGCATCAGACAAGCTTTGACAGTCACCATTTACACAAGGAGAGCTGAGACAAAAATTAGTCAGTGGAGCTACAAAAATCATTATAAAATGTTTATGTACATACAAATTTGTGAGTTTTCTTACATTCTATAACTGCCAGTTGGTAAGATGTATTCAATACAGTTCCAATATTTGCATTATTATCAGCTCTACAAAAATAACTGCCATTATCAGATCCAGTAAGATCACTAATTGTCAAGTTGCTAGTGACTTGACTTATATTTGAACTATTGTTTGAATGGAATCCAGCAGATAACTGTACTGATATACTCCTTTTCTTGTTTGGAACAATTAATTGTCCGTCTTTCATCCATACTATGGTAGGTGTTGGTATACCATTAGCAGTGCAGTTAAATGATATGCTTTGTCCACTCTTCTTGACAACAGCAACTCCAACAACTGGGCAATCAATGAAAGCAAACAATACATGTAACAACAAGAAGTTGCAAACTGCTCACAACTTTTATAAAAAATATTACAATAAAAGATGCAATAGCACATACAAAAAAATATTTTAATTCTACTTGTGTAAAATAATTCACAAGATTGTTGAGTCTTTGTATTGATATAAGCAATTAACAAGAGAATAATAGTTATAACTATTTATAGTTTAACTGTAAAAGTAGTGTATATGGCTGAGATAAAACAATTAAAAAATAAATCTAAACCTATATGTAACTTGACAACAAAAAAGTTCTGTTTTAATTTAATTTGCATTCAATATAAAGAGATCTAACTTAAAATAGTTAATTTAAAGGTATAATAATCAAGGCAATTCATATGGTAGTACCTGGTAATGTTTGCCCCAATATTGCACTACTGGCTGGTCCCAGTAATTGCTGATATGCTCTTATAGTTATGCTGTAGATGGTTCCAGATGCTAGGCCCTTCAGTGTTGTTTTATTACTATTTCCTCCCTCTATTTGTACTGTCTGAATGATACTTGTGCCTATGGTAACATTGACTACATATCCATCTGCATCAATTGATCCAAGTGCATTCCAAGAAAGTGATATGGTTGAAGCTGTTCCACTAGTGACACTTAAATTAGATGGAGTTGATGCAGGAACTAGCCGGAAACTTGGAAAGTAAAATAATTTAAATTGATATTTACTTACCTGTAACTGTATAATAACGATTCCTAACAACATTCTCATGGGAAATGCCAAACTGTAAATAAAATCTAAATACATGATCTCCATTGCTGTTTGCTTGATTCAATATTCCTCTGTTGTTATTCTCTCCATTCCATGTAATAGTTACACTATAATCATATGTTCCATTAATTGTATGTAATAGTACTCCAGAACCAACAGTGCAATTGTATTCTTGTTCATTGCATACACTAGTAAGGTTGCTGCTAGTATCTCCAGTCTCATAATACCAAGTAGCAGCTAGTAAAAATGTATGATTCATTCGACCAATCTTGATGGCATGTAATGCATATTGCTGTGGTAGCATTGTCATATCTGAAAGGAGTTCAAATTTGATCCCAGCAATCTGAGCCCACCCTATAATGTAAATCATCTCACAGTTATGACAATGAACAATACAATTGCTTACTGAATATGTTAGCGGTAATAACATTAGTATTGGGATCTAAACAACCAGTAGGTAAACAGCACTTATAAAATCCTTCTCTTTCAGGCAAAAGAGCTTGCCCATTTGGTAAGTACAGGCTTAGACTAGCATTTGGTGAGGCAAGGCTATCACAGCGAAATGGATCAGTGTCACTGTTGCTGTGACAGATAACAGGATTTCCATCAATAGCTCTAACCCACTGTCCACCATTCAAAGTAGATCCAGTGGCTACACACATTAGGTAGTGTGTTCTGATGGCTACATCATGAAAGTATGATCCATTGAGATAGCACTCTCCTCTATACATCAAGTATATACCTATATAAGAATATCATGTAACTAATGGTAGCTGCATGCATAGGATCAGAAAAGGTTTTGCAACACACATTCTTTAGTGCACTGCTTAGTATGGCTACAAGTGACATCAATTCTAGCACCTGAAACACCTTCTCTACAAGTATAGTATCTTACCTGAGGGTGATGAACAATGACTAGTGACTTTTGTAAGGAGTAGCAAAAAGATCATCACTATCAGTGACATTTTTTACTCTTCAATAAAATAGTCAACAAATGGCTGCAGTTGTATATAGCATATAGCATACGTGACTAGTTCTTTTTTAGTTTAGAATAGGGAATTGATGTTTACTCTCACAATCATTAATAATATTCAAAACATTATTAAATAGAGTATGATCATGAACATAAAAGTCCTGCAAATGACAATTTTTGAAAATTAGTTAATAGAATAGTTTAGAAAGATAAATCTAAAGTTAATTTTTTAAATTCAGCACACAGCAAGTTTTGGCTTAAAATTAATCAATTTTTTGTAACTAAAATGTTACAGATCTCTTGCTAAAATCCCTAAAGTTAGTACAATACTGACAAGCTATTTTAATTGAACTTAATAATTTTAGGGCAAAAGACATAAAACTACAAATGTCTATAGCTGATAATAATATATACTGACAAATTTGATTCCATTATCTTGTTTGTTATAGTCATGGTCCAACAACTAAAATGATGCTTTTCTGCTTGTGAAACAGAAACAAATTGAGGCATTAGTTTTGATTGTTCATTGCAAATCATAACATTTCTTAGTAGCGCAATCAGTAATCAAAAAAAGTCACTATATTAGTTTTTGTCATGTGAAGGAAATAGGATTCTAATAGTACATGCAGGAGCAAACAATAAGGTCTGTAGTGTGATGTATTATCTATCAGAAGAAAATGAATGCATGCATATAGTGTCCATTTGTCATAAATAGTACTATTATGTAAGTACAGCAGCAACATAGCAACATACTCTAATTGATATTGATATGAAAAGGTGTCCTAATGTTTACTATATAAGTATAATTATGCACATGCAACCATAGCCAGTGAAAGTCAACTCTGGGCTTTAGGAATAAACTTTATAGAAGATTATTTTCAGTTTAGTCTTTGTCAAAAGGAGGTTGATATATGCTATCCTATGGGGAAAGTTTATGACTGAGCTCATAAAAATACATTATAATAACTAAAAAAGAATTAAGTAATGCCATGGAAAGTATCACAATCTACATGTATTAACAACTAAGATGTATCCAGCATAAACAGGGATATATAAACTATAGAACAAAAATACGTTACATTAATGTTCAAACACAATTTTTGATAAAATTATATACAATAAACTATCACTGAAATTTGATTAAAATGGCCATAACTCTAAAAATTTTAGTCGATTCAAAATTTCTACATAGTATAAGGACATCAATGTGTATTTTAAAATGTAATAAAAATTTAGGGTGATTTTGGATCTATTTTTTGGAATAAGCTGTGGGCATATAGTCCTTATTTTTTCACTTTTTAATGGCCATAACTCAAAAATTTTTAGTTCAAATTTATTCAAACTTTAGATAGCATAAGTACATCAATGAGTATCAAAAAATGTAATAAAAATGGGGATAATATTGAAGACATTTTTGAAAAATAGAATTCTCCATTTTTATTACATTTTCTATGCTGCATGACATCATTGATGCATGTACATGCACATGCATGTACATTCTTTACCAATACAAAACTGGTATGCCCCCTAATCCTGTTCTCCCGTTTCTTTCTACTGACTCTCTAAAATAAACACATTATGCGACTATCATGTGCCTGTCTGATAATCCTTATAATTGATTTCTTCATAATAAATTTTTAAATCCTCAAATAAGGTAAATTGAGCATCAATGACATCCTTAAATTTCTCCAAAGCCCTCAAGACAGTAATGAGTATTACCCTACCTACTGACAAAAAAGTACATTACTATTATATCAATGCTCATGTATATTGTATGATCTATAGTATAGTAAATGCATACATAAGGACATATCAAATCAATGTAATATAGCACACTATATACTTCATTTATTACAGTACTACATGTGTATATGCATACAGTACCATTAGTGTATTTCTGTAAGTGGATCGGGTTGTGCAAAGTAAATACAGTAGTAACAGTACCAGAGGTTACTGAATTGATTACGTCAGATTAAGTGGAAGAAAATTAAAAATCCTATAGTACCGGTATCAAGAGTACCTAATATTATGTACTCTTGCCGGTATGTATAATAAAAAATATAATATTACATTGTAGTATAGTTTAGTAAAAGAGAGAGAGAAGGAAGAAAAGAAGAGGAGATGGGCATGATGGAAATTGTACTAACTGGAGTGACATTGACATTTTGTCGATTGCTTTATCAACAAAAAATAATGTTTATTATCATGAGAGAGCATAAAACTCTATAGAATCAAAAAATGAAAGAAATTAATTACATCTATAGCATTTCAAACTATCATCATTATAATTACTTTACCTAATAGCTATTAATAATATAATATATCCCCCAACAATAACAGGGCCCCAAAAAGCAGAATAAGGCCTACAAGCTTCATCTCAGAGCATTATTCTTAAATAATGGGGCAAAACAATGCAGTTTTATGCTCACATTTTTACCCTTTTCTGGGGGCCCCGCTGCTTTCTCAGCGGCCTTGTGTACAAAACTAGTCTGGTACAGCCAGACCATGACAGTGTCGAAGAAGCATACAACTCACTGTTTGCCAGTGACTTAAAATGTATGTAAGCAAACATAATATTGAGATTATACTAATGGGTAACTTTTGATATAATAAAGGTATATTACTGTACTACGCCTACATGTACATAAGTAATGAGTTCATAAAGAATTTTTGTAGCATCGTTTTGATAAAAATAAATATAATTACTATTGAAGGGAAATTAGAATTTTTGTCACTGCACCCTATAGATTCTATTGGCCTATAGATTATAATTATTAATCAAAATGCTCATATCTCAAAAATTGACAAAACAAAAAGTTTATCCATTTTGGCTGAAAACAATGGGCTATTATTAGCTGTTCAAAAAGTTCTATTTTAAAAGTGGATACATTACAACACATGGGCTCCTGAAAATGCTATATACAAACAAACCTTTAAGTATGTTTACCAGAAGAATAAATCAAGACAAAAGTCACATTTAGCCACATGAGTCACAAATACAGATAGCCATAAATTAACACAATGCAAAGAAGAGGAGGTAATAGAAAAAAGAAAATGTGAAAAAAATAAAAAGAATACAAAAATTGATTGTATACTTAATAAGTTTAGTCAAATGCATTGTTTATAATAAAGATCATTGTTATTGTAATATAGTATCTGGTCAGGTCTTTTAAAATAAAGGAGCACTGAAAATAATGAGTGGCATGATCTATTCATTTGGTGTGTGTGCGTGTGTGTGTGTGTGTGTGCATGTTTATGCATAATGTACAATGTATGGTTAAAATTACTAGTAGTTAGGGGAATATTTAAATAAACCTATTTATACAATCTTAGCCTATATTAAATAATCTATCATTAATGTCATTATCGACTACTTACATTTTATAGCACAAAATAGCTTTGATTTATAGTTCGAAATTAAATTTTTTAAAATTTTAATATACAGACATATAAAGTCTGCCCACATAGTGTATAAGTCTAATGGACTCTGGTAGACAAAATAAGTAACAATAGGTAGCCATGGGAAACTGTTGATAACCATGAGGTAACTATGGATAACCATAAATAACTATTGTACATGTAAATCTAAATGCTGGGCCAGTCCAGTAAACTTTGAATGGCACCATTAGTAATAAAAACCAGTTTCAGTCTTGGGAGTTTTTAATTTTGATGATATTAAAAACTACCCACAAATATTGTGTGATCAGCACCATCTGGCATGGTTTTACTTTGCCAGATGTTCATGCTGATGTAAACATTTATACACAGAGAATGAAGTGTTTACTATTTACAAAAAAAGATATATATTTTTAAAATCAATTAAACTTTGTGGACAGAATGACACAATGACAACTTAACTGCTTAGTACTGCCTATGCAAGTGTGGCGAGTCCAATAACCATAGTCACACTGAAGCAGCAATAACATTACAATACATACAAGTTACAATGTCTTGTGTTAAAGTAATTATCACTGTCTCCTTCATCTTGCTCAGGATCTGTGATCATCTTGGCTGACTAAATTTATTCGGGATTTTGATCTTTTCTTATTCCTTTTACATATCTTCAAAATAACAGCTACTGCTATAGCAATCATTGCAGTTAAGCAAGTAACAGCATTTAAGCCAATTGATACCTTCCCATATGTTGTCAGTTCTTCACATGGTTCACAATGGCAACTTGGCTCTTCATAGTATATGAATCCATTCCTCACCACACTGGCTGTCATTGTCTGATTACTACAATTCATGAACTGTAAAGAAACATAGTCTATTTCGACTCCATACTCATCTGCTACTTGAGCAGTGATTGTAATATTGTAGACTCCTTCACTAACTGCAACAGCATCTCCAAATGGGCCAGTAGGAATAAACTTATTCCAAAGTAATCCATTAAGGCTATGGGGCCTAGTCACCACTTTCCCTATCATTCCCAATTTGTCTATTTCCAAAGTAAAGACATCAGATAAGCCATCATTACTGTACAGTAGGTTAGTTACTTGCATTGTACACTTCTCCTTTCCTTTTACTTCAAATATTAGCGTTATTTTTCCTCCTTGCTTTAAAAATACTGCTAAACCATTTGTAGCTCCACTCCTGTAGTTGATGACAGCACTAGAACTAGCTCCATCTTCTGCCTGTATGGTTAAATTAAATTCAGCACTTGACAAAGAAACTGTGAAGCAGATAACCAAGAAAGAAATCATTGCTCTAAGAAATGTAATACTTACAATTTTTTTGCAAATAGGCCTAGTCTGTAATATTAAATATAGGCTTGGGTGTGGTCTTTAAATAGAAAGTAAATACCGTATAGCGGGTAATTTTGGACGGGAGAAATTTTAGTGAATTGCTAAAATTTTGGTGATTGGTGGGTTTTATAATTTGTGGCCATGTGGCATTGAGCATGTGCATAATGGTACAAAACAGCAGTTTTCATTTGGCAAATGGTTATAAAAATGCCAACTTCACCAAAGTTTACTTCATAGATCTAGATAATAAAAACATCACCTGAGAAATCATTAAAAATAGCAATTTTGCACAATCACTACCTTTTGTCCTTAAGGCAAGCAAAAGTTTTATGCAAAAATTGGTGATTTTCACATTTAAAAAGGGAGATAAATTTCACTTAAAATTTAGTAATTTTCTCCTTGAAGAGCATATATTAAATTATGTGAAGCTTTGTGTAATCTGATAAATATGCTATACTATAGTACAGGGTGTTTCATCAAAAATGGCTATTAAATTTCCTGACACATAGATATATGTTCTCTTAATTATGTAGAACTGATTTCAATTAAAAGTAGATTAATTTTTTTTAATTTGCTCAAAAATTGGGTCAGAAACAGGGTGAAATGACTATGAGACAATTCTCCAATTTAATATTATTTTTTTCTGATTCATATACATGTTTTTTATGTGATGCTTCAACTGATTCCAATCAAAACTATTTTTTGAAATTTTTAAAAGTTGCTCAAAAATCAGACCAAAGACCCGAGCTGTTGATAGACCTATTTAGTATTAATACTCTGAAGAATTAAATTGTGGATCTTTATATTGAATGACAAACTGCAAAATTAAATTCAAACAAATATTTGCAACTATAAAAGTATACTAGCTCCAAATTTTGTCTGTCAAGAATTTTATCATACTTTTCATTAAGTTTTGCTTGACAAAATTTTTGACCAATGAAATTTTTGACCACTGAAATTTTTTGCTCCACATGGTTAGTAGAGTTTATGCCAATTTTTTAAATAAAAAATTATAATTTAGAAATTAAGATTTTGACAAATTTTTGAATGACAAAAATTTGGAGCAATACAGTTTATCAAGATTGACACTGGCCTTAATTACGTACAATGATTATAAATAAAGTAAAAAACTAAAATAACAATATCATAATTTTTAAAAACCTCTTTTTTAGGCCAGACAATGAGTCCTGAAAATCCATCCATACTCTTTGCCATCCATACTTTTTGCTCATAGAAGACAAGCCCAGTTTAACAGTAGATCAATAGAACTCTGATGATGTTTGCAGAATGATGCAATATTGGTGCAGAATATTTTTGTAAACAAAGCAAATCTCTTCTTTTAATGCTGAGCCTCAGTGCCTTACAACCTGCCAGAAACCAGTATCTATGCATAAAATAGAAAGCTGATCAATCAATTTAGCTATTAACCATTAATAAATGGGAGTGGCTGATGATCTCATAGTGATTTGGCCGAGGATTTGGCGCGATTGCAGCAGAGTTCTCTGATGAGATGACTAGTTTGATTGGAGATAGTTTTGGTTTAAAAAGGCCTCCTCTTTGCAAATTGATAAAAGATATATTAGAAGAGTATCCCAGTGGACAAATATTTAAAGTAAGTATATATATATATTGTGATAGTGAAAAGGGGAGGGGCTAGTTGCAGCTACACAGTAAATACTCTATAGTGCGGTAATTTTGCAGAGCTAAAGTTTTGTGGATTGATAAAGATCAATTTATCTTGAAAATAAATTTTGCAATGTTAGTGCCACGCCTTTAATGAAAATTGAATGTTTTAGTGTATCTTTAATTTCGCGGTTGCAAGCTAACCTACAAAAACAGTAAAAGTTTTGCCCCTCAAATATGTGCTATATGGTAGTTGGAACCTGAATTGAGGTTTTGGGCAATCAGGACTCAATCATGATAATGTTTTAAACTGGTTCACGCCAGAGTAATGGCCATGATACATGTACCAGTCAGGACTGTGGCAGTATTTAATTTATTATTTTTAGGGGACAGTGCAAGTGACAATTTTTGGGAGTCTGATTTTGTGGTTTGTAAAATTAGACTTTTCCTACTTCAATTAATGCCTTTACCTTTTGTTTAGTGTTTTAGTTTTAGATTTAGATTACTTTTTAAAAGCTCCTTGGCAATGTGTAATGATCAGCCACTTTATGTTTAATAATAATAGACCTCTCGAGCTGTGAATGACTAAGTTTATGAATATCATTATTTTGAGATACGGTATCCACCTACGCGTAATAATTGGCCGCCATTTTGGACGGCAGGATTCAATGAAGAAGGAATGGAGTAAACTATAAAAATGATTTGTTTGGCAGGTTTGGAGCTCTTTCAAGCTACAAAAGTTGGTTGGAAGAAAGAATGGATGCTACCAAGCATCTCATAAAACAGATTTGGTGCAATTTGCAGTAGATTCTTTACTATAGCTTGCTTCTGCCTTTGCTCATTGGTTCACTATAGAAAGTTACCATCCATGGAATTTATTTTCTTCTCTACACACCCACTGCCGTATTTACTCTTGTGACATAATTTATTCTCACCTCGAGAGGTCTATAGCACTGTTTCATTAACATAATATGTTATAGTAATGATAAAGATTACATACTACCAGTGTAATAAGTAATGACAAAGAATCTATTGCCAAAATTTTATAGTAACTGTATTAGGTTTTTTTATTATTGTAAATCAAGTGTAGCACATCAAAAATGACTCAGAGAGTATTCTCCATTTTACTTCATTTTCTGATACGCGTATATCAGGGTTTTTAGCATGGTGCTTGTGCAACTGCACGTGCAGCTCAAAAATTGGGCCAAAGACCCTGTACTATTGTACAGGGTCTTTTGGCAAAAATTACAGGATAGAATTTTTATAATTTTTTCTGATACATTGTACATGTCTTTATGTGTATCAGCTTTGAGGGGATTTTGATCAAAGTTTGATTTTTATAAATTTTAAAGCTGTTCCAATTACCCTGTATGGGTTTTGACCAAATTTCATCAAAAAAGAAAAAAAGAAAATTTATTGTTTTTATAAATTTTTCTGATGTATATACTTGATTTGTGTTGTGTAGAAAGTTTAAGCTGATTTTGATTATAATTATTTGAATTTTTAAAATTGCACAAAAACCAGGCCAATCACCTTGTACAGAGGTTTTTGTCAAATTTCATCAAAATGACTAAAAGAGAATTCTCTATTGTTATTGCATTTTGAGATATGTATATATGTACCAGAAGTCCATATTGTGTGCTTTCATAGTGCATAAAAATTTTAAGCTGACTCTAATCAAATCCAAATGCCATGTACTGTATTGTAGTGCTTGTCATCTCATGAAGCTCATGCTGTTTAGCCCACTTAGTATGCTGTTTAGCTCACTTAGCATGCTGTTTAGCTCACTTAGCATGCTGTTTAGCTCACTTAGCATGCTGTTTAACTCACTTAGCATGCTGTTTAGCTCACTTAGCATGCTGTTTAGCTCACTTAGCATGCTGTTTAGCTCACTTAGCATGCTGTTTAGCTCACTTAGCATGCTGTTTAGCTCACTTAGCATGCTTTGTGGGAATCGTTGATGTATACACATATTTATATTTTCTTATGTTATGTTGCATAGCTTATTTTAATTAGAAAAGATTTATTAAGTTGCTCTAAAACTAAACAAAGGCAAGGAATGGACATAGTAATTCATAAATCATCAAAACTGCTTTAATTTTTCTAATAGATAAACATTTTTGGAGTTCATTCTTATCAAGTTCTAACTTTAAATTTTTTAAAATTGTTTTTATAATAATATTAATTTCCAACGACCATCCAGGTCCATGCTACATTTATTTTATCAAAATGTTTGTAAAAAGAGTCTCAGTTTTTATTAATTTTGATTATTAATTTTTTAAAAGTGAAGCACAGATTGTATTTGAATTTTTTCTTACATTTTCTGTTACATTTCTGATATAATATGCTCTTAAAGCTGACTTAAAATGTAATACAATACAACCAATAATGTAAGATTTGGGAAAGTTTATAGACTTCCAGTCTTTTATCACCACTTTTGGTTTTAGTATAAAAATCAACATTTATGTTATGTAGACGGTTTTAGCTAAATCTCATCAAAATTCCACCTAAGTTGCTTATTAATTTTATTAATAATGTACATGTAATACAGTCAAACCTGCAATACTGACAGTCTAGAATAAGAACACTTCCATAATCACGATAGTATTATCAGATCCCAAGGTTCCAGAATAGACAGGTTGTTGCAATAGTAATTCTACAGCGCAAATTTTTATGGCTTTAAATTTTAAAATTGTACTACTCAAATCTAGTTTCCAGATTTACGGTAATTTTGCAGATAATAATTTTGCAAATCCCTACAGAATAGCTTTATTTGTAAACTAAATTTCAGTTCGACAGTTATTGTTCTGGGTTTATGTTTGAGTTTGTGAATTTAAATTTTTTGTACTCCGATGTGTCTACAAATCACAAAAACTAGAGATGGGACAAGTGTAAAATTTTAGCATTTGAACATTCTATTGCCAAAGTGAACAAATTCACACCATGAAATTACTTATCAATTAGTCTTTTGTTTAGCTCACTCTAATTAAATGTAAATGCAGGACCCTATATGTTCAGTGCATAGCTCAATGTTTAGTGATTTATACATCAGTGCTAATTATATTAATAAGCAATAATGCGATTGATTAGTAGGTGTGGTTACTGTGGTGCATACCATGCCTACTGACACACCTTTTTATTACATTCAAATGTCTGCTGCAGCATTTGAATGTTCTTAAACTTCTTATTAACAAATAAACATTTGAATGCTCCAATAATTTTCCCAGCCCTAACAAAATCAAGTTCTCTATATCTATACAGTAATTCACACAGGGGTGGGGTTTGGCTATGCGAGACTAAATTCGCACTGCCTGCCAATTTTTACCGCATTAAAATTTATTACTTTTAATGAAATTGACTCATGTCTGTATATCACTAGTTAATTTTTATGTGTGGAACTCTGTTTTTTATTCCTTTTTATGTACATGTATGTCTTTATAGGAAATCATACAAAATGCTGATGATGCCAGAGCCACCGATGTCAAATTCTTTTTGGACTTTCGCACCTTTAAAACACTCCCCCCAGAACTAATATCAACTACAACTGATCAAGAAGAAATAGTGCAACAATTTTCAGGACCTGCTTTGCTTTCCTATAACAATGCTTCTTTCAAAAAAGAGGACTGGGAAAATATACAAAGACTTCAGCAGAGTGGTAAAGCCAAGAACCCTCACAAAGTTGGAAAATTTGGAATTGGATTTAATTCTGTCTATCATATTACAGGTAGGAGGAAAGTAGAGCAGAGAAAATGTTTTAAGGATATTGCTGCATCAATCATGCATGCATGTAATTTTTATATTTTTATATTTTTTAGATTTACCAGTTATTCTGAGTCAGAATTACTGTGGATTCATAGAGCCACAGGAAATTGCATGGAAAGGTGAAACAGGTAAAGGTTTTACTCTAGAAGAGTTAAAGGATAGCTTCCCAGCAGTGCTGGAGCCTTTTCATGGTATTTGTGGTTTTTCAAAACAAAACCCCAGCTTTAAAAATATGACCTTGTTCAGATTTCCATTGCGTAATAAAAAGTCAAAGCTGTCCAATAAGTCCTACACTATTGATGAGCTTCGTAGTCTGCTGGATGCATTGAAAAAAGAGGCTCGATATTTGTTAGTTTTTCTTCGATCAGTGTGTTCAATTGAAATATGTCAAATCACAGAGTCGAATACTACTGAGTTGTTATTTAAAGTCAGTTTGAGTGAGAGAGATTGTCAGTCAAGAAAATCCCCAGAAAAAAGTTTAATCAAGAAAGTTGAGTCAACTTTTAAAGGTCAATCACAATATAGCTCACGTGAAGTAATTAAAGACATTTCACGTTTTAAAATTGAAATTGTTGACAATTACAATGTCACTGAGCATGAATGGCTTGTTGTTAATCAGGTTGGCAGTCCAGATGTTGAAGTAATGCAGTTAGCAGAGAAACAGCATGTACTGCCTTGGGTTGGAACAGCTATTTCTTTGAATGATAATAACTTGCATTCAGTTGGTCGTATTTTTTGTGCCCTACCTCTACCTATAGAGGATCAATCACCATTTTTCGTTCATGTGAATGGAACATTTGCTATTTGTAATAACCGTCGTTCTTTGAAATGGGAGGCACAAGAGAGGAAAGGGGATGAAGAGAGTACATGGAACAAATTATTAGTGGAGAAGTGTCTTTTTTCATGCTACTTTGAGCTCGTTTGTAAGCTCATGGAGCAACATGATGTCGATACTAGCATGGTATACAAGTGCTGGCCTGATATTAAAAAAACTCAAGATACACCATGGTATGGCTTACTAGCACCTTTTTATCAGTTGCTAGTGAAGAGCAGTAAGGCAGTCCATACTTGGCTATCTGGAGGAGAATGGATTAGCATCAAGGAAGCAATTTTTGTTAATGATAATTTACCTGTAGCAGTTAGAAATGCTTTAATGGAATGTTCTATTAAATTAGTTGATATTGATGATAGCTGCAGCCAGGCCTTAAAGCAATACTACCAAGATAGCCTCACTATGCTTCAGCCTGCCTTAGTAAAATTTTACTTAAAAAGTAATCATGACTCTTACTGCAATGGATCAAAAGAAGATAAATTTGAAATCCTTAAGTACTGCCTTAGCGATAAAACTTATAATGATTTAACTGGTCTTCAGTTATTGCCATTAGCCAGTGGCAACTTTCAACAATTTTATACTAAACCGCTTTGTGCAGAAGCCATTTTCTTGAGCAGTTCCTCTTATCCTAGTGATTTGTTGCCTGATTTAGAGAGCAAGCTAGTGAGTGTGTATAATGAAGATGAACAGTTGCATTTAGAACTTTGCTTAGTTTCATACAGTGGTTGTACGCAGCTAACTATGCTAAACACAAAAGAAATAGCTAATTTAATATCGCTAGGTATCACAAGCAAATGGTCAAGTAAGCAAATGTCTCATTTTTGGCATTGGCTTCAAAAACAAAATTTATCACATTTTGAAAACAAATTTTTGGTACAAATCAAGTCATTTTCCAATGGCACTACAGGCATTGCTAAATTGGCTAAAGAAGATGGAGTTGTTTACATCTCTCAAATTTCAAATATGCGATCACTTTTAACTGGCTTGGAAAAGTGTGGCATTAAATTTGCTGATGCGTGTGCCTTTCCTCATTTGAAGCATAAGGATCTTAATGAATACCTTTATCAGTTTGATCATAACCAGATACTTGATGCCATGCAATCATTAAATGTAGCAAGTGACAGACTTAGTAGTCATGAAGCTATTGCTCTACAAAACTACTTTTCAAATTCAGATCTTGGTAGACAAAAAAGGATTGACACTATTTGTAAGATTCCAATGTTTAAAGTTCTCCAGCAAAAAACTCGTGTCTCTGTTGACTTTATTAAGTCACACAATAGTGAAACTGAAGCTATTGCAATGGACCATACTTACAGCTGTGAAACAAATTTACTTCCAACCACAGTTTTTGTGATAGATGCCACAGAAAATGAATCAAGCCTTATCAAAAAGTTAAATGACCAGATTCGCCTCTTGCGAGAAGCAGAATTCCTTCAACAAATTGCATTTCACCAAATTCATAATAAAGAATTTACTCTAAGTAATGTGGTACCATTTATGATCAGTGTTCTCAAAAGTTTTGATAATCAAGAATACAAAGAAGCAGCTGAGCAACTGACTAGTACCATGAGAAGTTTACCATTTGTTGAAGTTGTAAACTCATCGAGATTGGAAGCTCCTCAAAATTTGTTTGATCCTGATAATGAAATATTAGTTCAGCTCTACCTGGGAAAGCATAAGTTTCCTTCATCTTGTTTTTATCCTTACCTTTCAATATTGAGGCAATGCAGTTTAAAAATGAAAGTCAGTGCCAATGACATCAATCAAATTTTAAGATCTATTCGAACCAAAACAGTACATTCTCAGACTAGTTACAAAACAAGTGACAATAACTACAAAAGAGCTATTGCAATATTGAAGTATTTGTCACAGCATTGTCATTTATTAAATGATATTGATGAATACAACTCCACGCTCACTTTTTTACGTAAGGAAGCTAGGCAATATTACTGGCTTCCTGTGTCAAGTAAGTGTCCTACGAATTACCCTTCATGTCTTGCTTGGAAAGGATCTAAATACAGCAATAGTTTAGTCTCATGTGATGGTAATTCTCTAATAGTTTTGACACAAAATCTTTCTTCATCAAAACTACCACTGATAGCAGGATCACAAGTTCTATTCATAGATAATGTTCCCAGTAAACTGGAAGATTTAGGCAGTCAGCCCAGTGATATAGTACCTGCTGTAATCTCTCATTTTAATCAAGTAATATCAAATGAAAATAATATTTCAGGGGACATCTTAGAATTGATTTCATACTATACTTATGAATACTTGTTTCAAAATGTTAAATATTGCACTGCAAAGTCATTTTCTGGCAAATGGATATGGTTGCAAAACCTTTCAACATTTATTTCTTCAAGTAAAGTAGCTGTAGCAGCAAATCCTTTATTTAGGCTTAATCTTGAGCCATTCATTTATTTGTTGCCTTCAAATTTACTCAAATTTTCTGATCTCTTTAAAAAATGTGGTGTTCCAACTGAAGTAACACCAAACCAAATTCTTTCAGTCCTTCACTCAATTAGGAATACTTCCAGTCAGTCAAAGCTTAATGAAGATGAAGCATGGTCAATAGTTACAGCTGTACTGAGCTGGGTAGCTGAAAATATTAACAGTAAAAGTAATATTTTAGTACCAATCGATGATGACTCTGTTTATCCTCAACTTTTTCCTTTTGAAGAAGTAACTTATACTGATAATGACATGCTGCATGCTATTGCCAAGGACTCAGATGAAAAGTATTATCTAATACATCCAAAATTATCTCATTTGTCATCTAAATTGGGGCTAACTCCGCTTAGTGATCATCTTGATATTACTGAGGATGTCTTTGATGATGCTGGTCAAAATGAACCATTGACAACTCGTCTTAGTAATATTTTAAAAGATTACAAAGATGGTCTCACAATTATAAAGGAGATGATACAAAATGCTGATGATGCTGAAGCTACTGAAGTCAACATATTGTATGATGATCGCACACATTCTACTGAAAAACTATTGTTCAAAGGAATGGCAGGTAGTCATGGTCCAGCTCTTATAGTGCACAACAATAGTGTCTTCAAAAAGGAAGACTTTGAAAACATTACAAAGCTAGCTGGAGCCACTAAAAAGGACCAGCCACTTAAGATTGGTAAATTTGGTGTTGGGTTCTGTTCAGTGTATCACATCACTGATGTACCTTCCTTTGTTAGTGGTGAGTGGTTTTATATTTTTGATCCAACACTTAAGCATCTTAAAGGTGTAGTGCATAATGAGAGCAGACCTGGAAAAAAAGTCAAATATCAGTCTAAATTTATGGCTCAGTCTCAGCAAATGGCCCCTTATGAAAATATATTTGAGTTCTCTTCTTCTGCAAATTATGATGGAACAATTTTTAGGTTGCCTTTTAGAGAAAATGCTAGTCAAATCAGTTCTACTATTTACAATGAATACCTTGTGCAAAAATTAAAAGAGGACTTAAAAGAAAATGGCTCCAAATTATTGATTTTTTTGCAAAATGTCAAACGTATAACATTCAGATCATTAGATAGAGATGAGCTAGTTATTGACATATCCATTACTTGTAGCAATGAAGCAAATGGAGTTAAAAAATGCACAACAATTTGTTTTAATGAATCAGAAATAGAATATTGGTTAGTGGCCCATCAAAAAGGCAATTTGAAGCAAGATGATGATGATAAACCTGGAATTGCATCTGTAGCTTGCCAACTGATTAAAAAGGATTTATGCTACAAATCTCAAGAAATAAAAGGTAATTTATTTTGCTTTCTTCCACTGTCATCATCCAGTACTGGTCTACCAGTACATGTTAATGCCAATTTTGCTGTTTTGAACAACAGAACTGGTATCTTTATTGAAGAAACACCTTCTGATTCAAGGGAATTATGGAATATGCAGCTAATGAAAACTATTATACCAGAAGCATATTGTAATTTATTGAAAAAGTTACAAGAAATGAGTGCCTCGCAACAACTGTTGTCATATGAAGAAAATTTTTACTCTTTGTGGCCTTTAACAGAAAAGTTACAGGTAAGGAATCCTTGGACATGTCTGATTTCAGCTCTAATGAAGTTGATATCAGACAAACCATTGTTTTACTCTTCTTCGACTGGTCAATGGCTCACGCTAGCTCAGTCCCAGTTCCTTCCTATATTATTTGGATCAAAATTAAGTGATTATTGTTCATTTTATAAAGCTGCTTCAATTCTTAAGTTACCAGTAGTGTCTTTACCAAAAAATCGTTTAGATCAATTAATAGACAGTTTGTGTGTTTGCATGCAGATTACTGATAGTGTATTTTTTCAGAAGTTTTTCAGTAAAATTGACTTGTTTACATCTGATAGTTCCATTGAAATTAGAAATAGTATTCTTAGCATCATGCTCTCAGCTATTGCATCATATCATGAACAATATTCTAAAATTGTGGAAGAGTTAAAAACTATACCTTGTATTCCTACTTCACCTGTAGGAAAAGAGCTCAAACCAGCTCATGAACTTGTTGATCCATTTCAGTTTCAAGCTATGTTTGATCCTGAGGATGGTATGTTTCCCTTGAATTGTCTTTGTGAAAATCCACTCACATATAAAACAATGCAAGCATATCTAAATCTAATGACAAAAGATATCTCTTGGGACACTATTATTAAAAGTGCCAAAACAATCAAGCAGCTGTTTGATAGTAATAAGAGAAAAGCTTTAGAACGAGTGAAACTTATAATAAAATCAATTGGGACTCGGGCAAGAAATGAATGTCCTGTAGACACTTTTAAATCTATTCCTTTTTTGCCAGTGCTTCAAAAACCAGATGTCTACATTTTGCCATGGAAGGGAAGTGGCTGCACTGTTTTGACACCATTAGAAATTTTTGCAGCGACCTCTGTTAGTAACCTCCAGAAAATTAGCTTCATTGCTGGAACTCAGAAAGCTATTGCAAACACTATGAGTTTGGATAAAGATGGATGTACTTCAATTCCAAAAACTGTTTTACAATTACTGGAAATTTCTTCTGAGCCAACAATTGAAGATGTATTGAACCATTTCAATCTTTTGATTGAGCTGATGATGTCAGATGTTGATCGTAAAAATTGTCTTCAAGATGAAGCTATTTCTAAACATGTTAATGATATCTGTCAAATGGTGTATGGATTCTTTGAAGGTCACCTTGAAAATAATGTTATGGTTAAAGAAATTGAAGAAAAGTTACATTTTTATGATAACAAGCCATTCATATGGACTGGTAAGGAGTTCGTGACATCAGCTAATGTATCAAGAAATTGGAAAAAAGAGGATGGCCCTTATTTATATAAACTTCCAAACATTCTAGCAATGAAACAGCGATTACAACAAGTACTTAGTATCAATGATGAATTTGATATTAATAAATTGCTTGATACTTTGGTTCTTATGCATTGTAGATACAAGGAAGCACCATTACCATGTGATAACCATGAATTTACTGATATACTAATATCAGAATTAAATACAGCTAAAGGAGAATATAAAGGGAGAGAGCAGATAATTTTAGTGGATCAAAATTACATTTTACGTCCAAGCAGTGAACTCTATTACAATGATGCAGAGTGGCTTCAAGTGGAAGTAGATAAATATCATTTTTTGCATAAAAATATGTTAAGTAGTACAGCAGACTCTTTGGGGGTAAAACGCATTCGGAGTAGTTTTTTAGACACTTTTGTAAATGAAACAGCCTTCCAGGGCTCAAAGTTTGGTCAGAGAGAAGACCTGACTCAGAGGATTAGGAATATCTTACGAGACTATCCACTTAATGAGAGCTTTCTTAAGGAGCTTTTGCAAAATGCTGATGATGCAAAAGCAAAGAAAGTGTGTGTGATCTTAGACAAAAGGCAACATGGCAGTCAGACAACTCTGTCAAAAGAATGGAGTAATGATTTGCAAGGTCCTGCTATATTAGTATGGAATGACAAAGAGTTTTCTGAGAAAGATCTGGAAGGTATACAGAAGCTTGGTCTTGGTTCTAAACGTGATGATGATGAATCAATTGGTCAGTTTGGTATTGGATTTAATGTGGTTTATCATGTAACTGACTGCCCTAGTTTCATTACTTGTAACAGTAATGTTCTCTGTGTGTTTGACCCTCACTGCAAATATGTACTTGGAGCAGACAAAATTCATCCTGGAAGGCAATATGATGACCTTAATAATGGCTTTTGGGAAAAGATGAAAGACTTACGTAGCTGCTATCTTCAAGATCCTATACCAGGACAGCCGGAGCATTTCAAAACTGGAACACTTTTTCGTTTTCCTCTTAGATGGAATGACAAACTTGTAGATCAGTCATTAGTGATTGAAAGTAAGGAGACTCACTCTATTCTAGTAATGGAAGATCAACTTAAACAATGGGTCAAAAAAATTGAAGAAGCACTTTTGTTTCTAAATCACATTACCCAGTTTGAATACTATGTAATTGAAAGTACCAACAGTGAGTTTAAATTAAAAAGCAAGTATGAAGTGACTATGAGCCATACTGCAATGCAGTGTCATAAAGAGTACCAGACATATTTGAGCGAACAGTCAAAGGCCAAAAGTACTTGTAAATCTTGCAATCCTAAAGTTTTTACTTATTCTCTCACCCTGCAAACTGAAAGAAAATGTGAAAAAAGTTATCAAAAATGGGTCATTCAACAAGGCATTGGAGATATATTGTTAGTTGATCAGAAGTGGCAGTTTATAGGTAAAGTTCTACCAAAGCATGGTTTAGCAGTTCCTATAAAATCATTAAAAGGGTTTGTTGGCAAGATATTCTGCTTTTTGCCCCTTCCAATCACTTCAAGTCTCCCTCTTCATATAAATGGCCAGTTTGTTCTAACTAGTGATCGTCGTTCTCTGTGGCATGGAGAAAATAAGCACAGTGATAAGAATCAATGGAATAATCGACTAATTAAAGCAATAGCTTCATCATACACAAGTTTTCTCACAAAACTTAGACAATATGTTGTGGATACAAAGGGCTACATGGATGACAGAGAGTTTTATAGAGCAGTTGATAGTTATTATGACTTATTTCCATACTGGATAATGCCAGAACAAAGTAGCTTCTCGACAGCAATTAAACACTCATCAACTGATGCCACAGCAATGTCACATACCCCTTCTGGTACCACTGCTACAAATAGAGCCAGTCTCAATGACCCATGGCTAGCTCTAGCTAAAGATGTATTTTCAAAACTTTGGACTCAAAATTGTGAAATATTAGTGAGCAAAGTTTATAATGGAAATAAAATAAAAACAAATTGGCACAAGCTTCGCAATGATGATATTGATGCTTTTACTCAAGCATACTTTCCACGAAGCAGGCCTAGCCTACAACCAAATAGAGTGTTACCAATTCTGAAGAGGTTAGGTATGACTCTGACTTGCGCTTCAGAAACTTTATACAAACATTTTAAGGACTTTAAACCTTTTATTGCTAAACCAGAGCAAACTTTTGATTTTTATTGTAAATTTCATTCAAGAATTGTCAGTTGTCCTACACCTATTGATTGCTCTCCTTTCAAACGTGAGGAAGATTTTGCTATTTTTCTGAAGTACATAATGAAGTCATCCAAGGATAATTTACTGTTTTTGAAGCCACCATACAACCTGCCTCTTTTATTAACAGCAGACCGGCATATTAGAAATTTTGAAGAAACCAACAAAGTGCTCTGCAGCAGATTTTATGACCTTTTTCCGGAGAGTTTAAGTGCTTTTTTACACCCTTGTTTGTTGGGGCTAGAAATGTCTCCCACTTATTTTCTTCTTACTGATGATTTTACATTTTCTCAAGTTAAAGAATTGCTTGACAAAAATTTACCACCAGAGCTGTCTCTTAATGAAGTGTTTAACGAATTTAATAAAGTTATTGACAGAAATAAGCTCAAAGATATTTGGAGCTGCATTTCAGAAGATGAAAACTTTTCCCAACATCAGGAAAAGATTGTTAGATGCTGGGCATTGCTACCATCGACAAGTAACTCTCTTTATCAGTCTAAATCTTTGATAATACCAGTTCTTAAAAATAGGCGTAATAAGCCAGTGGAAAATGAAGTAAGGCTATATGAATTATTATGTGATAGCTTATCTATTCCTTTACTTGATGAAGCAATTCATGAAAGTGCTGCAAAATATTGTCCCCTACCTTCTAACTATGACAAAGTGTTTCAAGTAATATATAACCAACAATGTCAGCACAGAGTGTTTGAAAAGGCTAAACTTTGTGAAAATGACATAAAGGTGTTATTATGCTACTTTAGTAGAACTAGTTTCAGGAATGATGAAACTATCAAAAATAATGTCAAAAGTATTCCAATATTTATGACTGTAAATAAAGTCTTGACATCGCTGTTAGGAAAGGATGTCTATTTGTGGCCAAAAAATGGCTGTTGTATGGCTGGATATGAAAAGTGGGCTGTACTAGATTCTGTTGTGTTTCTAGAATATGAAGGATCATGGAGAAATCTGTGTGGGAATGACTTTTCGCTATTGGGAAAAACCCCAGATGAGCGACAAATTTATTGCGAACTCATTTTTCCTTGCTTCACTGAGTTAACAGATGAAGAAAGAAAGCAGCATCTTCAACATATCAAAGATAAACTTATTGATAATTCAATATTTGAGGCTGAAAAAGAGAATTTTGATCTTGCGGTAAAATTTATCAATAAGTTAAAAATTTTGAAGTGCCTTTCTCATAATGGTATTATGCTTAGTATTTCTAGTTTCTGTGATCACACTGTAAGAATATTTACAACGTTTTCTGAGCATTTTCATTTCTTAGAAGGTGATTATCGTCATGAAACTTGGTTGGAGTTTTTTTGTAAACTTGGCTTGCAAACAACAGTAAACTTTGATACATTTATCAAGTTAGCTAAGCAAGTTGAGAAAGGTGACCATTCTGAACTTGAAAGTGCCTCGGATGTTTTATTTTCTTACATATTCTCAATAAATGCTGAGCCATGGTACAAGTCTCAATACAATATGTCAATGATTGGTGACATCAGATTTGTCAAAACAGCCAAACTTAAACCATTTAGTTGGATTAAAGCCCCATGCAGCCCGCCTCATTGGTTCCAATCTCAAAGTATAGGACTAACGAAGTGCAATGAAGCTGTTGTTGATATGCATTCAGCAGTAATATGGACTATCAAACCAGTGATTACTCTTCATAAAACTCCTTCTTCTAGAATGAATAATGTGTTAAGCCAATTAGGGGTTGTACTGGAACCAGATCCAGCTGATGTGTATCAAAATATAATTAATATTTCTAATACAAACTTAGCAAACCCAGAATTGTTCTCAAAATATAATCCATTGCTTGAGTGTCATGATAATGAAGATAAGATTAGCATTTTTGAAATAATTACAGCAAACATTAAATATTTACATGCCATAAATTGTGAACTACTACAGAATTTAAGAGAGGTGCCGTGTATACCAGTTCTGGCTGATGGAACTGATGAAAGTAAGACTGTTCTTGTCAGACCACTTCAAGTATTGGTACAGGCTGTTAATGATTTTGTACCATATCTTCACACTGTTCCAGAAAGGCTTTATCCTATAATGCAAGCTTTTCAAGTCATGGGTGTTAGCAGAGAACTTGAGCTAAAACATATCAACTATATGTTGAAATTGATCAAGGATTCTCACCCAGACAGTATTATGATCAGTGATCCAAATGAACTCAGACGTATTACAAAAGCAATTCGTATAATTTATGAGTTGCTTTTGCGCAGTAATAAAGAAAAATCTCAGGCACAGTTAGAGTCTTTACATCTCCCTACACAAGTCAGCCAAAGCCATTTTAAATTGGTTCCAACAAAGTATCTTGTTTTTAAGGACAGTACAAGATATAAGTTAGAGAAATTGATAATTTCTACATCTTCATACTTTCTGTTCAAAATTCCTTTGCGTGACAATAAATTGAGTGAAAAGGAATTTTGTCTAAAATTACCAAGGAGTGTTAGGCCTCATGGCTTTTCTCTTTGCTGTCATGAGACAGTTCTTTGTGCTCAACAAAATAAAGATAGTGGAAGTCCTTTGGTTAGCCATTTCAAAAAGTTTAGGACGTTATTTCCAAAGATTGCTTGTTCTATTTCTAGTATTATTGATAAAAATCTACCTCGTTCTTTCGATGAAAAGGAGTCAGAAAAGTTCGTTGAGAAACTTAAAGAAATATTGACTGAAATGACAGTGACTACAATTAATAATCTGCAAGTAAAAGTAACGCTAAAAGGTGATAGTGATTGCATAGGAGTTTTGAAAGTTGATTATTCACTTCAGAAAACCAATGAAACTTATACTCTTTTTGTAGATGAAGAAACTACATCAAGCAGTACACTATGGGCAGAAATGGCTCAAAGTTTATGCATAGAAATTAGTCGTCTTCTTGAATGCGACTTATTAAAATTCTTCAAATGCCGGGAGAGTCTCAGTCACATACTTGCTGTTCAATCAATAAATGACATGCAGCAGTTAGTTGATGTACAAGATCTTGATATAGTAAATGATGATGAAGTGAGTGATGACTATAAACCAAACATTGGTCACCCTTTACCAGATTCCTTAGTCACAATGCTCTCTCAGGATATTGATTACATATTTAGGCCACAAGACCTAGTTGGGTATGAACTAGAAGTAAATTACTACATTTGGGCCATGATACTTTATCCAGTTATGGATGACACTGTGCCTAAGAGTGACACTGGTCCTAAGCTGAAGCGATATGTAATAGCATGGTCTGAGCTTGAAGAGCCAAAAGAAGTATCATCTGTCTACTTACATAGGTTTGCACCTCAAGAATTTACAGAACAAAGCACAGAGACTGCTTTAGCTACATATCATGGTGTGTCTGAGTTAGAGGAATTAAAAGACAGTAAGGAGTTGTTTGAAATAAAAAAGAGAATTATAAAAGAACTTAAGCTTATTTGGAACTCTGATCTAAGTGATAAAGAAAAGAAAAAGGCAGTACTTAGAATGTTTTTGAGCTATCACCCAGACAAAGCCATGACTAATAAACACCTTTACGAAGAAGCATTCAAATTTCTACAGCGACAGCTTGATCGACTAGAGAAGGGATTAGAACTAGAAGAACCAAAGGATGACGGACCAGTTGACAATTGTGAGCCATCTCATTGGCGTGAATACTTTACTAGTTGCAGTGATGTTTTTAGAACTTACAATCACAAAAGTAGAACGGGAGGCATTGGGGGAAATAAAGGTAGAAAAGGAGGCGTTGGGAAATTTGATAGCTGGAGTGACTATGTTAAACCTAAGCCTGATGTAATTGAAGCAAAACGCTGGCTTAGGCAAGCAAATTCTGATCGTGAAGCTATGGAAATTCTCCTTGATTCTCTTAATGCTAAACGTGTGTCCTGCCAAGTTGCATTTTTAGCACATGAAGTGGTTGAGAAAGCATTAAAAGCTGGAATGTATCAATTAATTGGTATAAATCCTAGTTGTGAATCATTAGTGCATCACAAGTTAACTAGCCATGCTCGTGCTATTTCTTCAGAAAAACCAGGTCAGGCAGAAGAGCTTCCAGGAATAGCATCAAAAATGGAAAGTTCATATCTTGATACTAGGTTCCCAAACCGTCATCCTATGCCATCTGCACCAGTGGATGTGTATTGTCCTGAACAAGCTAGGAGAAATGCTGAAATGGCTGAAACTGTTTATAAAATTATTTACAAAATTGTGAACAATTGACTATGTAGGTTAATACTTACTAAAATTACATTTTTTGATAATTATTGATTTGCTTTGTTTTAAAATGACTTTTTGAAAATGCAGAAGCCTAGGCATTGAAACTGCTGTAATAATTCAAAATTTATGTAATAGTACCAGCACATACATCAGGGTGTTAAATAACAGTGGTACCAACAAAAGGCACCAATTGGCGATTAAATAATTTGGTGAGTATATTTGCTCACAAAATATTTTGCACCCTGACATTATACATGCGGTAATCATAGCATATTAGTTACATTTGTATTGTTGCTCTATTGTATTTGGAAGAATTGTTTGGAAAATACATATAAGATCTAGACCTACATCAATTGTTTTTACCAACACAACTGAAAAGTAACCTTATAATAATAAAAACTTTACTATAAGCACACATACCTTATTACATAATACTTTAAAAGAGTAAAACTAAGTACAGCCAGGGCTTTTTGCAGGATTTTGGTATAGTATCATGCAGCTTTTTGTCGGTGGCAGTTTGCTCAAAATTGGCCCAAAGACCCTTTGACAAAAATCACATAAAAATTTGCCAGTGTTATAATTTTTCTGATAAATATACATGTACATGTTTGTATGTTTTTTATAAATTTTGAGCTGGTTTCCATCAAAATTGGATTTTTAATAATTTTTTAATTTGCTCAAAAATTGGGCAGTTAATTTTTTTAGCCAAATTTTGTCAAAAATGGCTATAAAAGAGTTCTTCATTTTTTTAATAATTTTTGTGTCCTTATGTTGTGTATCAACTTTGAACTAATTCCGATCGAATTTGAATTTTTTATGAATTTTTAAAGTTGCTCAAAAATTAAGCCAAAAACCCTGTACTATAGTACAGAGTGTTTGGCCAAATTTTTGATAATGGCAAAAAAGAATTTTCTATTTTATAATTTTTCTGATGCATTAATACATGTATTTATTTTGTGTACCAACTTTAAGCTGATTTTGATTATAATTGGATTTTAAATGAATTTTTAAAGTCTCCAAATGACATGTACTATATTGCACTAATTGTACTGCTTATTAGTTCATAAGGCATGCTGTTTAGCTCATTTCACATCCTTTGTGGGAATCCCTGAGTGTAGCACAAGTCAGCAGCATCTAACTTATAAGCCAAGAGCAATGTCAAATCTAATTTAGTAACACTATGTTATTATTGAGTTACTTGTGCTTCAACATGGCCAAAGTTTATCACACCTATACAAGTGTCTTTAGAATTGTTATCATGCTATGTTGTTTCATGCACGCCAGTTGATTTATACCTTTAATAATGATATTCAAAGTTATTTTAGAGGAGTTGTAGATCTAATTACAATGGTTACGCCCTCAAATTTCTCTCAATGAAGAAAATGGATTTGATCCTTGCTGCTAATCTGCTTGCTGTTCTTCTGCTGGTGCTGCCAACTTGCATGTGTGTTGTTGATCTTGAATCTAAGTACAGTTTTAGTAAAACACTTCACTCTCACTATGCTCTTTATTGGGACAACAATCTAACAAGAAAAAACATCTATATAATTTGCAGTCAGAGCACTGACTACTGGATAGATTGGATTTGGTATATCACCTATGGAGGAATGGTTGGATCTGATGTGATCATTGGATGCATACAAAATGGAAGCAGTTTCTTCAATGTAAGTAAATTTAGCGTGTGCAATGTCTACACTACTGTGTATAGGATAGGTTTAATGTTGCTCAGTCAACTCTACCACTATAGAACAGAACTGTGAAGAGGAAAATGGCTACACTACACTTGAGTTTACACGTAATTACTTTTTGTGTGACAGTAACAACCATAGTTAAGAATATTACCATAACATTTATGACCAAGTTTTAGTTTATGCTAGTGCATATGTTAATTATAGGAAGGAACTTCATGTATTGTGTGGGCTATGGAGTTTGAAGGAGCAAGATCCACCTAATAGAGCTAATGGTAGCTTTAATTACTGCTCATGACTTCAAAGATTCAGCAAGTATTAACTTATTGGGAGGACTATGCAATGCAATTTGCTGATCCGCCAGGAACAAAGTCATCTGATCTATAACAGTAGGTGAGGTATGGTTAATTTTGTAATTTTATTTTAGCTTGAATATTTGTTTAACTTATGATAGATTACAAGACATACAAAGCAATGAGAAATATATAATTAGAGTGAGCACTTAATTATGTATAATTATGTATAATTTTATTAAATTACAGGATTTTATATTTCTACCTAATGTTGCTTATGCTTGAGGAGGCAGCAAGTTAACCTAATTCCTTCTATCTAAAACAAACAATTCCACTCTTATTTGGATTTTGTTTTTCTATACTTGTATTGAGATATGATCAAAAAACAACCAAAAGTAATCATTTTTAAACTTGTGCCTGAAGAAGGTCTTCATGTGTTTGCTAACTTGCTTCACACACATTTGTTGGGTGTGAGCGTCAAACTGTATCACCCGAGCAGCTAGTAATCAGTGTAGGTCAGGCATAGTCTCACCCGAGGTCAGGCAGTGGTATTAAGGAACTGAAGCCGATTGATAAACAATATTAATATGACTTCAACTTTCAAGGGATAGTTCATGTTGATGAAGTAACCATCAGACGGGTAAGAAAACTATTAATTTCTTAATTATTTCTATAGATCTACAAATATAATAGCAATCTGTTTTAGTGCTTGTTATTAAAACTCTAAGTATATGATATTACTATCATCAATGATGAATGATAGTACCTCAGTCCTTAATGGTACTCATCATCAATGAATTGATGGCACTCCGGCTCCTCGTACCTCCCATCATTCCTGCATAATTATGGCTTCATTATGATTTCTGCGTGGTTGCTTGGTAACCTTCATCTCTATGGCTTCAAATTAATTTTAGCTTTGTATGAAATCTTTTGAAGAGCTGGACCTTAGACAGCAAGATATGTATCAAATTTCCTCACACCGTTAGAAAGAGGTAGGTACATAGACTAATATAAGCCATAAAGCTAAGGCATAAATTATAATAATGTTGAGTTTAAGTACCGGTACTAATAGTAATAGACTTGCTCAAATTTATTTAGAATATTAGAATTGATTCAGTTTTAACCAAAATTCTAGTTCAAGTGCACTGATCATGCAATCATGCACTACAAACTGTAGCAAGTACTGATAATAAACTACACATATGTTTCAACGACGAGACTCATAGAATCTATTGAAATCAAAGTTATTTTTTAAAGTTCATGGCTATTTTTAATTCAAAAATGCTCATACTGATTGTGGGATTCTACTGATATCGCATGAAACAGAAAATATTTTATAGTTTATTAATTGGTCTTGTGAGACTACCTAGGATCAGGGTTAGGCTACACCACTAGGCCCAAACTAACTGTAGAAGACGATGGTTTTGGCCAGTTGACAGTTATACAATTTAAAAAAATTAAATTTCATGACTATGATTTCTAAGCTATAATAAAGAGAACACTTATCATTCTAGATTGCTCTCTTATTTACATGTATGTCCTTATTAGTCTGACTATGTCCTTATTTCCTTCTTTTACAGCAATATCAAAGGAACATACATGTGTATACAGTATTAGTTACACAGGAATTAGATCTACTGGAATAATTATTATTGTTTCACCTTTCTTTCAGGATTGTCAGTAAGAGTGGGTCAAAGCATCATGATTCTCTGTCTTTGTTTCCAGTTAATGCTATGTCTGTTTATACATTATTCTGTACCTCGTACTGGTGAGTGATAACATAAATACATTTAACTAATCATGAAATACATTATTATAGTATTTCCTTTCTTGCAGGTGCTGTAATTATTCCTCTCCCAGCCGCTACCATTTTTCCATCAGGTTCTGTTGTTCCCATTGTTGATCAATCCTTCAATCTCAACTGTACTGGGACAGGAACCCTCCGGTGGTATAGAGGGTTTAATTTGGACACTCCACTTGACAGATACACTCAGCTTATTGACAGCATTAACAATACTTTATCACTGATGATTACTTTGAGTGATGATGAATCAGGACAGACTGATGAGAGGAGTCATACTTATTTCTGTACTGCTAATAATTCACTTGGTGTGGCTAGGAGTCAATCAGTACTGACACCATGTAAGGAGAGAGAGAGAGAGAGAGAGAGAGAGAGAGAGAGAGAGAGAGAGAGAGAGAGAGAGAGAGAGAGAGAGTGAGTGAGAGAGAGAGATTATAAGAGTGTGAGAATTAACAATGAAGGAAATAATCTCAGAGCTAGCTAGCTATTGCCCCTATTGTTTGATAACACTGATGTTTTTGAGTGCTTGTGGTTTGCAATTACTATAAATATCTCTTGCACTTTCTCACTTTTCTTCTCTCACTCTTGCTTTATTTAGTTTTCCAAGGATTTGGTGATATTGACAATACTACAGTGATAGTAAGACTAGGAGAAGCTGTTGCATTGCTGTGTAATGTGACACAGAGGCCAGTACCTACCATTGTATGGTATAAGAATGACACAATTATAGAACCTAATACAGTCAATGATACGAATC